TAACAACATAACGACAATAAATCCTATGATTGGTCCAGTAACACCCAGCAACGCGAACAACAAACCTAGGATGGTTAATTTTTAGTGGACGGTGATGTTAGGATGTATTACTACGCTTCAATATTATGGTCCATAAGAGTATAATCTACAGGGACACCACTCTGATTAATGCCAAGCGATTTTATTTAGTACAGGGGAGAGCATGTACCCAAGTGATTAAATACATTAATAACAAACAATAAAAACCAATAGGAATGATACAGTTGTCCTGCCCTCACTCTTCTTCCCGCCACAAAACAATGGTCGTGATTCAACCTTATGCAAGTGATCCTTTGAGTCTGCCACCCTCCGTACTCTGGCTGCCGGAAGAGTGGGATAATTGCTGTAGATGTAAGGGCAGAAATACAAGCTTAATCTTACACCAGATGGTTATTATCTTTCCAGGTTAGTGATGTGAACCCGTCCAGGCGCTTGGTTGCCAGTCTGTTGTGGGTCCCTACCATGGTCAGGCTGCTCGCTCTTGGTGTCGGAAATATTCATCATGTCATTCCCAGAGGCCCTGCACATATGTACAAATAAGTAAGTTCTATTTCTGGTGGCGGGTATAACTATTGATATTTTGAGATGAAGTTAATATATACAGGTATTGTCACAACCAGGTAATGCACTATTGGTAGGAAGGAGAACTGTCATCAAGTGTGCCCAGTTCTGGAATTAGTAACTATTTTAGAAGAGGATTTCTTATTTTCTTTTATACAGTTCAAGAAATATGTTTACTTTCACATGATGATATTTGCTAAGTGTGTACAAAGGTTAGTTTATGTTGCATATCACATCTAATAATATAAATATTAGCAGTTTTATAATGTTGAATCGATTTTTTTGTAAATTTACACCAAAAACTGAATTTCTATTATTCTAAAATATATTTTTACTATGTAACATAAAATAGTCTAGTTATCCCTCTGAAAGGAAAGAGAATGCCTAACCAGCTGGTAACCAATGTGTAGGTAAACACTATAATTGTGAAGTTATCATTGGTTGTTATATTATGTAAAGGTATATAGGAGAAAGTGTGATGATTGAAGAACATTTTGATAATAAGAAGCAAGTCCGGCTGTGTGTTAACTCATGTAAATTGAGTAAAAATAAGTTTGTATCTTGGTAAAACTTTGTATGCTGTTGTAATACATATGTAATTTTCTCAGAAAATACACAACGTTATATTTTTAAATGTTAATTGCAAGATAGCTTAAGGACTATAGATCGTTTTGATATAACTGACTACCTATATATAATTCAGACTACGTAATACATTATGAGTTAATGAGGAAAGGTTTTGTGGAAATTGGAGTGGACAAAGATTGGTTAGGTCCCAACTTTTTTTTTTTTTGTAGGGAAAGGAGGAATGAAGGAAGATTAGAGGTGGGGGAAGGAAGTTATAGTTCGGAAATTGAAGAAATTCAGGAGGAGGTAAGAGAGGGCGGGCTGACCGCCTAGCTAAGCTAATAGTGTGTTTGGGTTGTGTCATGGGTTAGTTATTGTCTGTCGGTACAGGCACTAGACATCCTACCCTGTCCCATATATGGCTGTTTTAAGGGCCTTATTTCATATTCCGCCGACCCTACTGGCGGATGCTGTTTCTAGGGAGGTTGTCTATTGCCTGGCCGTGTAGATCGGGGGTGGTAATGGACCTTTTGAGATTTCGTAACTTTTTGGGAACCATGTATGGTTGTTGTCGTTATCTGGTGGGAGTCTTTGAAGGAGTTCTTGCTCTGATCGTTCTATCTTTTGCCAGATTCTGCTGGCCAGGGTGTGCAGTTGCTGGTTGATGGGTTTCATTCTCAGGTCTCTATGTATCTCGGCTGTGGTTCTGGTGAAGGGGTATCTTTCGCCTGTGACGAATCTTAGGGCTTCATTTTGGACCACCTGTAATTTTAATATTTGAGTGGTGCTCATAGTATGAAGAGGTACTGCTGGGTAAGTTAATATCGGTGTGATAAATGATGTCACCAGGCGGAGTTTTATTTTCTCAGGAAGCGCTTTAAAGCGGTATAGTTTTCTCGGCTCACTTCTTGCTTTTTCCTTCCTACTGTGGACATGATGGGAGTAACCTGTCGTGGATATATGCAGGCCCAGAAGGGTGCCTCTGCTTTTGTATTCTATCTGGGCATTATTGGTTACTAATGGATGGGTTTTCTTTCTGCATAAGGGTATCACTGTGAATTTCGGGAGACTGGTTTGGATTTTCCATTGTTTTTCGTAGTTATTTACCCTTTCTAATTCCCGCCTGGTGTTGTCGACCTGTAACGCTCGCGATTTTCCTTGATGTGCTGTTATTTGAGTGATGTCGTCTGCATACATAATATCTTCGTAACCTATTCTAGTGGGAGGCGGGGTGTCACTTGTGTAGATAATATATAGGGTGGGGGAGAGGACGCTGCCCTAAGGGACTCCATTCATGAGTGGGAAGGTCTCTCCTGTGTGTTGTCCTACCCTCAGTCGAGCATTTCTGCCGTCCAGAAAGTTGCAAAGCAAATTTTCAATGTTGGTGGGAAGTCCGAGTTGGAGGATCTTATATTTTAGACCGTCATGCCAGACTTTGTCAAATGCCTTCGCTACATCCCAGAGAGTTAGATTACATTGTCTACCACTCGCCGCGGCTCTGGCTATGTTTTCACATGCCAGGGCTATCGCTGTTGTGGTGGACTTCCCTTTCCTGAACCCGAATTGTCTGCAGTTGACTCTATTGGTTGTTTCCAGGTGATTTCTCAGACGGTTATTGATGATTTTTTCTAGGATTTTTCCAGGTACTTCGAGGAGGGAGATCGGTCTGTAGTTTAGTGGGACGGCGGGGTTCTTTCCTTGTTTTGGTGTTAGGATAATAATGGCCTCTTTGAATTTAGTTGGGAAGTAGCCCGAGGCCAGGCAAGCGTTCATTGTGGTTCTCAGTCTCTCCATGGCCGGGTTGTTTATGTGGCTGAGGATCTCCTTGGTGATGCCTGAATAACCAGGGGCTTTATTTTTGGTATTGGAGATGGCTCTATTGAGTTCTTCCGAGGTGATTGGTTTGGACAATGGGCTGTCCGCTCTCAGATCCTCCCATATGATTTCAGGGGAAGGCTGAGTGCGGTGTGTCTGGCCCCGGAGTTCATCAAGGACGAGCTCCTCGTGGGTACCATCGAATCCCCTATTCTCTTCATTTGTGATTCGGAAGATGTTCCTCCATATGTCCCTCAATATGGGTTCTTTGTCTTGGTCGTCATATATTTTACTTCCTGCGTGGTCAGTTATATATGATGACTCGTTATGGCTGCAACCTTTCAATCTCTTAACTCGACGCCAGAACTTGTTTACTTAGGCGCTTGAATGCCGAGTCAATATAATTGTAACATCTAAGAAAAGTATATTCAGAGTTATAAACATTGAAATCAGTTGCATGAAATTATAAGGTGAACAACTGTAGTGAAATACTTAGTATAAATGAACTGGAAATGTGTAAATTATTATTATTAGTGAACTGGTATTGTTACCATGATTCCAACAACCCTTCTAGTGAGTAAGAGAAGCGGTAACTTGCGGTTGTATTTCCCTCTTATAGTTTTTTTTGTAAATAAGTGATATACCCCGAGAAATGGTAAGACAACTGTTATTTTTGTATTTATTAATCAGTAATATATGTATAGAGGGAATAATATTTTATACACAAATTCTTTCAATCATGCTAGGATGTTATTTTTTGTGATGATTAATTTAGAGATAATACTGATTAAAAACATTAACGTTAAGTACTTAGTCATGCGATACTGAATAGTGAACAATGAAAACTCAAAGTACTGTACTGTAATATTTAGTAGGATTTATATAAAGTGTTATTTCTGTTAATTCATTAGCTACTCATTATTCTGTGTCGAGTGACGATGTGAGTTATTATTATCTATATTAGGAACCAAAACCAAACAATATTTTCAGGGCGTCGTGTGTGCATAATGATTCTGCAGGTGGTTCATGGATGCAACAGTTATGTCTTGGAGAAGGATTCTGTGTGGAGCAGTATTTGAACAGTCGTAAATTGGAGCTGTTAAGATTGTTGAGTGAGGCTGTGTGTGTCCCAGAGGTGTCCAAGTATTTTGACCATACCAGTGTAAAGAAACACTGTGGAAATATCATGGAACAAGGACTGAGGCTCAGGTATGTGGAAAATTTATCTGATTCAATTATGACTAATTATGTCTGTTGAAGTAATCAGCTTCTAGTGAGAAATTATCACTAGGTATTCTAGGTATTGTATGTGTGTTTGAATTATTAATAATTATGTATGTATAATTTATCTGAGACTTAATTTAACCCCCATCTTTGCAAGCCAGGAATTTCTAAATTTCCTACCCCTTTGTTTGCTTTCTACTAAGATAAGGTAAATTATACATTTATCATTTTTATAAACTGGTGCCATCAACAATAACTATATGCCTACTGCTTAAAACTAGTTGCATTACCTTGCCTGGATAAGGAAAGAAAATAAAGTGTTAGTAGTCAAGAGATCAAATATAGTATGACAAGTCACTGTAATACTGGTAACAGTGATATTCTGTTGTCGTTTGTGCAGTAATAATCCCCACGGCACTACACTGGTGTCAGTTGGAATAAACTGATAGATTATCATCTTTAATGATTTTTATAGTAAGTTCAATTTTCACTTTCTCTCCTGGTAAGATTTGGCCCTGAAGGCTCTCAGTGCTCTAGGGGCACACGTTGTGTTCCCCATTAGTATGTTTATCGTCTCTGGTTACACAGACGCCAGTAGGCTTACATAGGATGCCTTAACGGGCGTATAATAATAATGATGATAATAATAATGATAATAATAATATTAATAATAATAATAATAATAATAATAATAATAATAATAATAATAATAATAATAATAATAATAATAATAATTAACAGTTTATTAAGAAAACATGGCAGCCCGAAGGCTGAAAATATACAATGAACAGAGATGATAAGTTACATATGGTGAAATCTGGGAGTGGGTCACTTGATTGACAAAAGCTTTCAATACAAAAACATAAGAAACGTAGAGTCACCATATAGATTAACCTTAGATCTGGTACTGTGGGAGCTGGTCTGTAGACATTCTTGTGACCTGATGTTGGCGCCAACAAAGTCCTTCCCGTTGTACCTGACTGCTGTATAGATGTACAGGAAGGCTACTCAGGATAAGGTGGGTGTGAGTGAAGCAGAGCTGGGTGACTGTAGCTCGTTAAGTGCCTCTCCTGTTGCCTCCACACCTTTTGTGAGGAAGTGTCATTAGACATGAACTCTCTGTCTTCACTTGATACTCTTGTTGTGATAACACCTCAGGTGTTGAAATCACTAAATTATACTTGTATAATATGAAACTAAACTAAACTTAGTCTGCCCTCGCTAACTCAAAGTAAGGGTCTGGGGAGTATCCGTAGAGGTTAAAGTCGTATCTATAGTAGTTGACGATGTCCTTCAGTAGGGAGAGCGGCACCTGACTGTAGTAGTGCCGGGTCGCCTCACTCGTCTTGTTGTACACGTCGAAACTGAAATGAACACAAAGTTAGAATGATCAAAGAATTGCAGCCACCGTGACCACGAAGCATGAGTTAGTGTTTCTGTTGTGAATGTTATAGTTACCTTCAGAGACTTGTCGTGGTCTCGTGTTTTAACAGCTACGGTCTTTAAGCACTGCAGAGGGTGAGTTTCAACTCTTAACAACAATTTAAAAACTATGAGATGTACTAACAGTATTTTACATTAGTGGGATCATAACACAACATTCACCGACGTTCTCTCTCCTTTACGGATTAAGGACATCTGCTCTTGACAACAAAGCCGATTTAAAACTCGCGTCATGAAGTAGCGGAAAATATTTTGATTAATTTTTACATTCTTATGACAACTATAGTCTATGTGTTTCCACCAGTCTGGCATTGAGTTTATCCTTAAAACTAATAAATAACTTATTACATGAAGTTGTAAGTGGTGAGAACGATGCCCACCACCCGAGTGTAGGGAGTTAGTTGCTTGAGGTACAATGACTTTATCCCTTAAAGTCGTTATCTTAAACTCTAGGAATTATTCTCTTTGAGTGTGAAAATATTGTTGTTACCGCCTGCACTGTGCGAGCGGTAATGGTGGAATTTATGATAGCATATGTTGGTGTTATGATAACGGTAATACGGACAAATAGTTGATGTGAACACAGAGTTAACTGCGAGGAGAGACTAGCAGTGTTGATGGTAGCTGTTCTGCTGAAACTGGACGATGACGCTTGTCGTCTGTACTCCATGTCCTGTGTGGGGCAGTGCACTACGAGTATCACTTACAGACTAGTTATACTGTAGGACCCATTACACATAAGTCTATGCTCATACGAGGCTTTATTGTTCTAAACTGTTATGTATTGGCAGATACTATATATATATATATATATATATATATATATATATATATATATATATATATATATATATATATATATATATATATATATATATATATATATATATATATATATATATACGTCTTTGTAATATTCAGATAAGTGTGTAGTAAACGCTGTCGCCATTGTATATAATACGAAGCTGTATTGTCACCTAAATTGTAATCCACAAATCTTGAGTAATGTGTTAACATTAAAATTGCATTAACAGGTTTTAAACATTATACACCATTGAGTCCACGTGCACGGGTCTTCTTAACCAGACGGCGCATTTTTACCGCTTCATTGGCGGTAACAATTGTACTGATAAGCTTTTGTTATGATACTGTTGGAGATACTGAACACTTCTTTGAGGAAAATCATTTTACATTTCTGACTGATTATAAGTGCACGACCATTCACTCACTTGGAGGCGTGAGTGTATAGGTTGAGGAGGTGGTCCTGGAGGCCGAGCTCCCGGATGATGAACTCTTGGTCCATGTTCAGCGTCTCCACGTGGGCGATGACGTCATAAGTCAGGTGGCAGGGCGCACAGGTCAACCAAAATGGCCGCCAGTGCATGTTGATTTTGTTGTCGCCGGACTTCCTGTGGCAGGATGACAGATTGAACATCGGTGAATGTACTGTGTGTGTGTGTGTGTGTGTGTGTATGTGTGTGTGTGTGTGTGTGTGTGTGTGTGTGTGAAATTACTTTTTTATGTCAGTAATTATTTTTGTCGTCTGAATTAAAATACTCTTAGACCTGATTTCAGATGATTGGAAATATAATCTAATTTTCATAGTTTCTCTAAAACCTTTTGTGATTCTTAATGTTACAATCATCTTATTGTAAGATTCTTCTCATTTTCTCCTCTTCCCCCCCTCTCTCTGTGTCTCTTCATATGGTTTAATGCTTCATATATCTGGTTGTACCTGTAAAAGTGTTGAGCAGTTGCCACGTCCTGGTTACAATGTTTGATTTGAGTTTCTTTAACCTTTTGTTGAGAGAGAGAGAGAGAGAGAGAGAGAGAGAGAGAGAGAGAGAGAGAGAGATGATAACTCACCAAGCTTTCTTTATGTCATCTTTCACCTTAAGGAGAAACTGGGTGAAGGTGGGCTGGGTTAGGTTGGTGGCGGAGGTGTTGGTGCTCAGGTCAACGTACCCCCTGGCTATCTTCTTCTGCATTGTCTCGAACTTACCTTTCGGATTCCTGACACGAAGCATCTTGTCTCTGAGAGAGTGAGAGGAGTGTGATACATAATTTAGTGTTCCGTAGAGTAGTTTATTTAAATCTATTCCATATAGGTACTTGTGTAATCTTTCCCAAACACACACACACACACACACACACACACACACACACACACACACACACACACACACACACACACACACACACTACTACTACTACTTTTTTTTTTTTATCGTGACCTCCAGCCTCCCCCAATAACCACACCTTCGCCACCATTTTATTACCTTAATATTAAATATCCTAATACATAAGTAGCTATCCTTTCTGTGTTGAATTAGTTGAGCCGCAGATCTATGCGGCATTCAGTGACTGTAGCCTCATAGTCAATATCTGCAGCAGTTGTCGGAGTAGGGGCAGAAGCTCTCGTTCCCCTGAGGCAGAGCAAAGCTGACCGAAGGAGAGAGAAAGACAGTCGACATCTCATCCAGGCTGTAACGAAACTTCTGGGCTGCTGCTTCTGTTCGGAGATCACCTCCGTGCGTCTGGCGTAGAAACATCTTGCACTTGGTCCCATCTCACCAGAGGTTGTGAACACTACTACTACTACTACTTTGCTGTCACTCGGAAACGAGTATGATGATCAGCCAGCTACGATATAATGGTATGAGTTATTAAGGATGTCACCAATGTTTGCGAGCTGTGGGGTGATTTCAGAGGCCGATACGGGATCGGCAGGGCCGTCCACAGATGTCACACGTGTGGAGGGCTACATCTAGTGTGGGAGGGGCAGCGGCAGTGTCTTTCCGGCGTTTGCGCCTGTCTGCCTTGGTATACAGTCGGGTTAACTCGAAAGTATTGATACCTCGTCTGGTGCTCCTCCAAGCTTTACATTTACTATTCGTTAGGTGACTGTAAAGTAGCTGCTTTGGCAGTCTACTGTCGTCCATGCAGGTAACATGGCCAGTCCAACGTAGTTGTTTATGGGTAATAGTGGCCTCGATGCTCCTACAGTTGGTGTCAGCGAGAATACTGGCATTTGTTCTCTGTGTAGTGGGCCTTAGGGCTGTTCTGCCAGTAAGTGAGAACAGTACGTTAACTATTGACGAATACTTCGATATTTGGGTCGTTTTCATCAAATCCTGGTGTTTTGATCTGGCTGAGAGTCTCTTTGCAAGTTTTTGTGTTGATAGCTTTGATGGGATCCAATTCGGCACTCGGAATTTGGTTATTTGTTTTTGGGTTATTCATCAGATCATCTTTGAGCTGCTCTCTGAAAGCGTGTGTTAAAGCCTCTTCTTGAGGTTTGTTGCCTTTACCATGAAGGGAGATTTTGGCCCAGACGACCTGATGATCTGTGTAGCAGTGGTCTGAGCCACGCATGGCTCTGGCGATGAGGACAACCTGGCGATCTCTTTTTCTGACAGGGATGTAGTCAATGGAAAGCCAATGTTCCAAGAACCCTTGACCTTGTCGGCCTGCCTAAACAAGGTGTTGTTGTGATAGTGAGGTTATTTTCAGCACACTTGCTGAGTAGGAGTAGGCCGTTGGGATTACACTAACCTACTCAGTTTCTCTTTATGGTTCCCTGCCATATGTCAGCATCTCTTCCAACTCTGGCATTGAAGTTATCAAGGAGCACAACCTTATCTTCTCTAGGGATAGAGGTTAGCACTCTGTCAAGGCTGGCATAAAAGGCCTCCTTGATGTCATCTGCATCCAGTGTTGAGACATATGCACTAATGAAGAAGGCATGACGTGAGTGATTCAGTGGGAATCGGAGCGTCATGAGGCACTTGTTGATCCCAACAGGCATTTCAGTTAGCCTATTGAGGATGGATTGGCGAATGGCAAAGCCAACTCCGTATTTGCAGTTTCTCTCTGCAGCAGGCATACCCTTCCATAAGAAGGTATAGCCAGACCCCTGTTCTGTGAGTCGACCCTCGTCTGGGAGCCGGGACTCACTATTGACTTCTATGTCGATGTTATACCTAGCCAGCTCTTTTGCCACAAGGGCGGTTCTTCTTTAAGGGCGCTCGTTTGTGCTAGCATCCAGAAGGGTCCTGAAATTCCATGCAGCAAGCATAAGAAGTTGTATAGTTTATTTTGCTTTGATCTGTGATTTTGATTATGTTTCGACACACACACACACACACACACACACAAGTACCTGTAAGCAGACAGAATACGCTCCAAGGGATGCCTCACTATCATCATCTTCATTGAGTTCTTAAGGTGGCGTTCCCTCTCCGCTGGGTCTGTCGGCTGGGCGTAGATCTTCCTGGATAGAGGATGGACGCCTGAGTCTACCTTCTTTTTACCTGCCAGTAGCAACAAGTTCTTGACCCAGGAGGTGGAAGCAGCCTGCAGGGAAGAAAGACATTACGGGAAGTCATCATCTTCATTATTCACTCGGTTTGTCTTGACATCGCTTCCAGTAGTTCGGCATGATAGTTTTAGCCCTGCACTGTACGGTGAGGTGCGGCTTGGTCATGTGTTGTGGGTGTCAAGTTATTAGTAAACTCACACGAGCACACGAGCACACACGGTGATTTTAGACACACACACACACACACACACACACACTGTTGTCTATCGCCACAGTAGCCCAATGCTTTACCGGATCATTAATTAATTCCTTAGGTTAGGTTAGTTAGATTCCTTTCTTTTTTATAAGGATTAGCTCACCCGCGCACAGGTCTCTGACCCACATCGGGGCCTGGGGGCGAAAATGTAATAATAATAATAATAATAATAATACAAATAATAATAATAATAATAATAATAATAATAATAATAATAATAATAATAATAATAATAATAAAGAAATACAAAAATTAAAAACAAATCAAAAGTGAGAATGTATTTATGTTGTCAATGGTGAGAGAAACAATTGAGACCCTGCAATTGTGTGTAAATGAGGCAGAAAGTCAGATCAGCAACCTGGGACTTGGTCACAATTTTCGTGATGCCATATGGCAGCAGGGTCTACCATTAGACAACACATTATGCTTCCAATATCTTCCCAGGCAGTAGTGCCTCCCTGTTCGGGGATTAAGGGTAGGTTAGGTTATGTTAGATAAAGGTTAGGTTAAGTTAGGATAGTTTAGCTAGGGTAGGTTTGGTTAGGTTAAACTTACACCATCACTCCTTAATTACCTTAAATATCGGACACCAGACCATCTTGTACTCGTTGACGAAGAGCAAGTTGTTGTAGATTTTCTTCATGTCAGGTGCCAGTACGCCCTGGAGCTTGAGAGAACCACACACCTTCTTCACCATGTTCCTCCGTTCCCCCATCACCGCTCTCTCCTCCTCCGTCATCTCCTTCGTCTGATCAGTGAGAGAGAGAGGTGAGGAATGATGACATACAGTGAAACCTGTCTTTAACGAACTAAATGGAGGAGAAAGTCCAATATATCAAGGGTCTGTTAGTTGTGAAAACTTCCATCTTTCGAACTATATAATAAAAGTTCGTTATATCGAGGGTCCGTTGAGTGTAAAATCCCACAACTAACGGATTATATAAGGAGAGAAGTCCGTTATGTGGAGACTTTACGTAACAATCAGTCGAGCCTGATGAACTAGCTCCTCCTGTCCATTTGTCTGTCTGTCTTCTCTCTGTCAACGTCAAGATTACAACAGTGAAAGCTATAAAGAGACGCCACACTCTAATGATAATGTGAAAGACAAAAAAGAAAGAAACAGTTGTTTGGTGAGAGAAGATAGAGTCAGTTTCACGTACACAGTTCCGAGTCACTAAGTAACATCAACATACTGAATGAGTCAACCTTTACATTGCATCCGATCGTCCAAAATTTAATCTTCAATATAAAAACTTAAGGTCACCCATCCTGTTAGTCTGGTTCAGGAATGTTATGTTCTTTCCTAGGCCAAGGATTTGTATCTCGAAGAACCGTACGTGGAGTTTTTCTTGTAGCTTATTCGCAGTAGTAGTAGTAGTATTGGTAGTAGTAGTAGTAGTAGCTAATGGGGGAGGCTGGGAGACACTTTAATAAACAAAAAATTGTAAGTAGTAGTGGATACCAACGAATTAAACAAGATTCGACGGTCCATTACAACAGAACAGCAGCACATCCAAAGTGATAAACTTCAACGACTGATGCAGCAATTGCCCGAGAACTTGAAAATAAGTAGCGTGAGCCCAGGTGGTGGGCGCCTTGAACTGCCTAACAACTTTACCGATTAGGGCAAAAGGCTTCATCCTTAATAAGCAAGAATTCACAGATGCCCTTCCAATGCGCGTGTGGCTCATCATACGACATTGACCAAGCCATGGTGTGCAAGAAAGGGGCCTTCGTATGCATGAGGCATGACGAAGTAAGGGATCTCACAGCAAACGCGTTGAAGGAAGTCTGCCATGACGTCACTGTGGAACTAACCCTCCACTCATTGGACAGTGAAAAGCTCCATTACAGGACCTCAAACACATCCAACGAAGCCCTTGTTGATGTCAGTGCTCGAGGATTCTGGACACGGGGGACAGCGAGCCTTCTTCAACATCAGGATTTTCGACCCCATGGCTGCATGTCACCGTCGCCTCGCTCTCGATGCAGCACACAAGAGGAGTGAGGAAGACAAGAACAGGGCGTATGGGGACAGAATTCAAAATGTGAATCAAGGCAGTTTCACTCCTTTGGTGTTCACAACCACTGGCGGTATGGGACCAGGTAAAAGGTCTTTTTTCACAAGACTGGCTGAGGTGTTATCTGAACAGAAGCAGCAGCCCAGAAGTTACGTTATAACCTGGTTTAAACGTCGACTGTCCTCCTCTCTGCTAAGGTCTGCATTGTTTTGCCTCAGGGATACGAGATCTTTGGCCCCAAAGCCGACAACAGTTGCAGAGTTTGACTATGAGGCAACAGTCACTGAATGGCGCTTAGATATTCGGCTCAACTAACTCAACAAAGCTAGGGTAGCTTCTTTTGTATTAGGATATTTAATTTTAAGGTAATAAAATGGTGGCGAATGTGTGGCTATTGGGGAAGGCTGGAGGCCACGTTTTAAAAAAAGTAGTAGTAGTAGTAGTTACACCTCAGGTCGCCAGTATCGTGAACGCCGTCGAGTTTTGTGAGTGTAAATGAGTGAGGACCGTTACCCATGACCCACTGAACAGTGGCGGACTGGCCGGGCTGGTCGCCGCAGGTCATCTCCAGATGAACCTGCCAGATGTCGCAACATACTGGGATAGAATGAATCGTTAGAGAAATGTATCTGAAGGCTTCTAGGTGGTACACGCGAAGATACCGAGTAGCGGAAAAGTTTTTATAGAACGATTCTTAATTTGACTTGACAAGGGATATGGTAAAAGATGAATTACATTATGAGGAAGAGAAATCGGTCACCGCGGCCACCGCCCTAGTGTGGTAACCAACTTTTTCGTCCCGGCTCGACCAACGAGTATCTGATACATACATACATACATATCCGTTTGTTATAATCAGTTTGCTAGATATTTATTAATTTTGGATCCAAACCACGTGTAGCGAACGTAAAAGTATTAATTCGGTTGATGAGGAAGATGATACTGTGGCAGAGAGGGTAAGTGACCTCCTCGGGCCCTGCAAGTACTAACCAACAGGTCTTTCAAGCAGATGTTCGTTGCCTTTTATAACCTTACTTAACCCAATCTAACTTATATCATACCATAACCTTACCAGACCAAGTTTAACTAAATTTTGATGTTTTAAGAAAAATTTTAGGTTTGGTTTGATCATGTTTAGGTTGGGTTAGGTTTGGTTAGGTTAGGTTTAGGTTGGATTGTATCTGGTATTCTGATCTAGAATTAAAATATAATCTCTCCCTAACTAACTTTATGGCCGTGTTCTTCAGCATCCTTCCTCTGGCTCACACAGTGAACTAATACTCGCACCGTCAACACTTTTATTTCTATGAAGGATGGACACGCGTGTTAGTAGTGGCGGGAGATACGTGTGCTGGTGTTAAACAATGAGAGAAGGATCAAGGTACCTACCCAGGAGGAGGCCGGCATGTGGACCTCGTCTTTATGGTATTGTTTCGGGTGAAGGTTGCTGACTCTCCTTGGTATGGTATTCTCCACGTCTACAGTATCAACAGTGACGAATTCTCTTTTATTGTCTATACTGTCAGTAACATTTGCACTCTGAAGGTGGACGTGTGGTCGGATTTTCTCTTCCCCACTGACGGAGTCACTCACATTCACTGTTTGCCTCGCTGAGTGCTGCCTCACGTCTCTTGTTTCTTGGTCGACAGTTAATAGTTGTAGTTTAAGTGTTTGCACTGACACCAACCCCAGCAGGACCAGAGCTAACAGACACAGGACGCTGCTCAATAAAGTGAATAAAATCCCATTCCTTATTATTGATCGACATCCCAGGACGTTCACTCGGCGGAGGAAGGACAACGTCATTGTCAATAGTATCACGTAAACCTTGACTGGTGGAGGAGGAACCTCGTCCGCGGGGAGAGTGGAGTGTTGCTTGGGTAAAGTTGCGAGGAGCACTGACCAGTAGTGCGTCGCCTCCCACACCCTAACCCTAAAAGACGCTCTAAAAGAAACTCAAGCAGACTCCCAAAAGCTCAACAATGTCAGCGAGACCATGGAAGTCCTGCAATCAGAGATAAGAACTGTTAGATGTTCTGGGTAATAAGTTCTATATACAGGAGAGAACACAAACACCTGTATAGTTTTGTAGGTTCGGTTTACTGGATAAGAGTATGTACACAGAGGTGGAAAGCACTGCTCCCTAGCTAAGGTCCTGGTCAACTACCATAGACGACGTATGGCAAGTGATACATTAGCAGCTTCCATACGTCGCCAGGCACATTAATTAAGCGTGTGGGATATGGTAATAACATTGCCACACGCTGCTAGCTAGGCTGAATAAATATAAATGGAGCACATACATAATATACATACATAATACATAATCCAGCATACATAATATACATACAAGAACCATCAAGGACTCAATACAACAGGCAGTTACTGAGTCACTGGGCGCCATGAGGGACGCAGTGGCGGAGAGTATCAGGAGCGTCTCCTCTCCACAGCTGGACGAGTCCAAAGCCACCACTATATACTTGTCTTACCTGCATGCCCATCACATGAACATGGTTCATCCAGGTTCATTCTCGAAACACCTCAACGAGACACTAACCAGGAACAACATTGCACCTGTTGAAATAAGCGACGAAGTCCCTTCAAAAGAAATCCTTAAGGCAGTAACCCACTCAACGACCTATGGACGGCCTCAACCCACGCCAGAAATAGACCATGACCTCCTTGACTTAGGCAAAAGTCAGTACAACCGCAATCCCGACGTGGCCAGTCAGTCCCCCAGGGATCACAGCTCCAACGACACCGTAAATGCCCGCGATCCCATTACATGCACTCCCAGCGACGACAGTGACCATCGGACTGCAACCACAGTCAATGGTTGCGACCAGATGATGACGACTCAACCCACAGAGTGAGTCCATAACGTAATACAGTATAAGATGTTAATAAACTTGTAATTGTAAAATCAATCTAGCCATTGTCTACTAAAATAACCATTGTGCAACCTCATTCTAAATCCTAGGTTAGCTTAGTTAGCCAACAAACTCTGTAATATGTAAAACAAGGGGTGTCGTCCCCCTCTGTTTAACTCATTAAACTTCTTTTCCAACCTTTCCCCCCACGACTATATGTTGTGACTTCTCCATCCCTCATGTCTGGCTGTGCCTTGAGCCCCAGCATGCCTTCCACCCTTTCCCCACCTTAACCTAAAAAAAAAAAAAAAAAAAAAAAACCCTTACTGCTGAGGTGTGCTGGCCTGCCCCGCTACCCGCCTCACCATAACCTGTTTTTGATCTTGCTACGCGCTAAAAGACCTTCGTTGTTAAAGTGCAGTAATAACATTACAACAACAAATTCTAAACGAGTGAAAAATGTGTGAAAGTTAATGAAAGTAACTCAAATGTCACACAAAAAATATTTCACACATATTACATGTTTGTTTTTGTCGGTGAACAAGAGGGATAACTCCATAATATACAACCCTGAGACATTAGTTTGACAAATGGGATCACCCGAAGATTAGGCCTCCAGTTTATTTCACCTGACGACTAAACACCCTAACGTTACCTTGGGGAGCGGGTAGAATAGGTGAGGATAAGTTAAGATAGCGTTAGGGGGTTTTATTAAGGTGAAATAAGACAAGGTGCTAATATTCTAGTGACCTGAAAAATAATATGTGTACACAGTTTATATTACATACCACAGTTATGAAGAACCCGACTCAGATTACGGAAACAGTTCAAGGTTCAAAGTTGACGTTGTTATTGCTTGTGTGTGTGTAAAGGCGGTTTTAGAGTGTCTACGGCTGTAATCCTTTGTGGACATTAGCTTCATTTATTACTTTGTACTAAAAACCTGTTGAAAAATCTCCATTATGAGAGAGACTAAAATTAACCACAAACGAAAAGTACCAGGTACATGTCCGGGTCGGTTATAACAAAAATCATGCACCCAATCACAGCAGCGCCTCCGGTTTAGCAGACCTAGTACGCTGTAAACACAAGCACAGGGGATTGCCATTGTCGTGAAAACATATGAAGTTCTTTTAATATTTGCAAAACAGGTACATTATCCACCCTCCTTCTCCAACTCACAGCCACACCCATATACAGCAAATATACTTTCCCGTTACCTACACGACCGAAGTTGGTTAGAGCGCTGGGGTAAGAGGTGGTGATGGCCCCGTTACTTTTTTATCACCTTGGGGACGATAAAAGTGGGTTCGTTGTCCATCCAAGTTGTGTCTGCCGTAGATGCTGTTGATTTTACATTCTCTCCCAAGTGGTAGGTGAGCAGCGTCTGGTTTACCGTACGCGAATGATTAAACTGACTCTCTTTTCTCCGGTGTTGATTTGTGATGAAGAAGAGAGTTAAACTTTCCTATGAGACAAGCTGTATAGGGGGAACTGTTAGGAGAGGGAAGGTCGTGGCCATCACGGTATGGCCTTCCTGTCTTCGTCATTGTTGCGTTTCCAGGCCTCGTGTGATCCCGTTACACACACACACACACACACACACTCTTAGTGGGAGAGATAACACGTCTGGTAGAGAGGCGTAAGCAGCGGGTACAGACAGGTGAGCGTAGTAGGGCCGGGGTGGAACAAAGACGTGATGGGACGAGATAAAGTTTTAATCATTAGAGAGACGCAGGATGGTGGAAGACTGGTAATAATAACCCAGTATACATACGCTATACATACAGTTATATACATACGCTATACATACAGCTACAGCAATTTCCATATTGTAATCAGAAATTCATGTCACATTAAACTTGTTCTTTATTAATTACTGCACGTACATACACCGGAAATCGTGAGGGTCACTTAATACATGCTGATGAAAGTCTTGTGAGGGGTTCAGGCGGACGTGGTAACTGTTGTTTGCATTGTTCTTGCCTCCGTCGCTGCAGTACGGTGATTTTATGTTCGTCTAGTCAACAAGTAAATGCTCTTACGTTTTCATTCTATCACTGTACTCGACCAATCGGCCTCAAGACACTTATATCTTCAACCAATCAGTTTAATGTGAATCCCAGACTCACCTGTCAAGATTATATATAACCCTTGACTAATAAACCTCAGCTGTTTAGTTCGGTCACTAGCTGGCAATAAACACGAAGAGTTTAACAGAAACCATGGCAATTATTTGGATTCATTCGTCAAACCAGATTTTCCCATGACACCAGAGGCTGATTTAATGCTAATGTACGGATTACCGAGGATTTCTGCCGTGAGCAACTGTCTACCACGAACGCATATACACTTTAGGAAGGTAAGGAATGTTGTTACAGTCAGTCAGATGTTGTGACCTGGTAACTGGCTCTCGTCCAGCTGAAGGTGTTGTGTTTGTGTAGTTTTAGTTACATATTACGAATGTTTACAAGGACGCTGAGTGTTTGTGTAGTGTTCTCAGTATGACAGGTTAACGTTTGACAGACAACAACAGGGGAGGGAGGGAGGAAGGGAGGGGTGAAAGGAGGTAGGGACGAAGGGGGGAGAGAGAAGATGAAGGAATAAGGGAGGGAGGGATGGGTAAAGGAAGAGAGTGAAGGTTAGATGGCTGGATGGAGGGATGGAATGAAGGACGGACGGAGGGTGGGAGGGAAGTATGAAGGAAACGAGCGGATTGGAGGTGCCACTGTACTCTCCTTCAAAGAAGTAGGTCGTCACCCTCACTCATACTTCATTGTACGTACACGATCAAAACAATATCCGTAACACATTTAGCGCGAAACAATCTGGCACCACAGACGATGGATATTGAAACAAACCGGTTGGCGCTTCTCCACACTTGTAGCCATGCTCTCATAAGGATGCCACATATCGCTTACTAGTGATACTTCCTGTTTTATCCATAGTAATTATATATTGTGATTATATGTTAGACATTCAGAAGAAATATGTTAATCTTGCGAGATGTATTGACTATTTAGGAAATCATCGGACCTTCTGTGTAGGTCGTGTACCTTGTCGACCTATAGCCAACAGGTCACAAGTCTTCTGCCAACGACAACAACAGCAGAACAACAACAACATATTTTTTTTAGATTGTCCCCGAGGGGGCTAGTTTATTGGGCACCCCCTTACATCCTGTGCAAGGTAAAGCGCAGAAGCGTTTACAGCGCCCATCGGGGAAGCATGCGGGGTTCATGCGTGCCTTTATGACTCATGCATTAAGGGCGTAAAAGCCTGAAGGGTCATGGGTTTTGTCAGCAAGTTACATAAAGTGACAGTATGATGAGTGTGTGGGGGGAAAATTCCCGGTACAATTTATCTGTTTATGGCAAAGTGTGGCAGGTCCTTAATAGTGTCAAGCGCCAGGCCATAGCCATAGGCGTTGACAATATTGAGGGACATAACTTTTAGTGTGATTGTGATGGCGTGTACGTCGGTAGTGTCGGCTTCAAGGGGGACGTCGAGAAGTTGGTAGGGGACGTCCTTCTTGGCGTAGATACGTAGTCCACTAGCATGTCCGCAGGGTGGTCAATGTGGAGAACTGGAGTGGATGGGCCTCCAGGTGCCGGTGGGGACAGGGGGCCTGGGGTGGTGTCCTCGGGCCCATGAGCGCGCGACACAGCAACAACCTGTACCCACCCGGGCACATGTCATCGACCCACAACGGAGCCTGGTACGGCATCTGTATAGCATTCCCAGCTTTCGGGAGGCAGCTTTAGCAATGTTGAGGATGTGTGGCTTCCGTGAGATATTAGAGGAAATGGTGAGGCCGAACATATCTATTTTAGAATTTGCCAGAATGATAGCATCCTGAAATGTGATTGGTGGGGGCTTGGAGCTCATATATATTTGTACAGTCGCGGACAAAGTTTGCTCCCTGTGATGAATCTGTGTCACGGAATGAGTCTCCAAACTGACTTACCCTGACTGTCATCTGGTGCGGGTGTGTTGTCCAGGGCCGGCCCCAGCTATAAGAACATAAGAATGGAGGAAACTGCAGCGGGCCTATTGGCCCATACTGGGCAGTCCCGTTTACACCCAA